AAACCTACAGGCTTGTCGAGATTTCCACAATTCCATATGACAACTTGTCTCTGAAATTCATTTTAGAAAATAAGTAAAGACATAGTGAAAAATTTGCGGTACATATAAAAATAAAGCAAACTTCGTTAAACGAGGCTACACGACGAGGGAAAAGTGAATCAGCACACAAGCCATAAACGGCCTTTGTGGATACGGTTTTGCAGGGTTTTTGTGAGTCTGGAAGCAAGGTTAGAAGAATAAAAGTAATATAAACACCTGCTAGTTCAAAAATCTTAAGATATTTGCCCATCACTCCAGTTATGAAAGAGCTCTTTGATAACCAGACGAAGGAAGCAGTAGACTCATTTATAGCTGAAAGGTTGTAATTTAAAGCATAACGAATTGTAGGAGCCGATAAAAAACCAAGAGCAATAGTGTAAAACAAGTTTTAATAAATAAAATTAGTTACCGAAATCACTTAATGGTTTGTTGCACACTAATTCTTCCGATTCACGTAGGGCTATGTAAGTGGAGTTTGAAGACATGTGAATCGAACCTGCCGCCGAAGATGCATACCCAGAAGGTTGGTTATAAGACAAAGACTCATTAACCACATCAACAGTGACATCCCAGATCAATATCGAGGGCTCCCTGCCATGACGACCTTTTTCAAGACCTTGAGCCAGCTAAATGGCATTTTAAATTAGGGTAAGCATGCGTTTATAATACCCACCAGATTACTCTTCCAAGGATTCCACACCAAGTAAACAGAAGAGCGTGGTGGGTGAGTGACTAAAACATAAATTAATAACAGAATACCAAATTCTTTGTTATTTAATTCAAATCGATCATGGTTATTCGGAAGATCAACCAGGCTAAGAGAATAAATTGGCGAATCTGAATTTACCTGGATAGCTTAATGTTACAATTAGAACGAATAAAAGCTATGAGGTGATCGGGGCCGCGAAATGTAGGGTCCCTGTCTTCAGAAAAAGGTTGCCATGCAACCAACTAAAATATCGGATTTAAATAACTACTTTCGCCAATTTTATATCCTGCATGTATCCGATTATTGATAGCTTAAATTTGGTGGATTTACCTACAACCAAATCTATTATAGATACATATACATATGCATATAAATTTTACCGTTATGAAACTGCTCAGATGTTAGCTCATTAATCAAAAACAAAAACAGGTCATTCTTCCAGATAACAACAAAGCGATCATAATGGTTCGGGGACCAAAATAAAACGCGATCACGATCATGTGGCATTGTAAAAAAAATCGCGGTAAAATGGGAATAAAACTACCGCGTTCAAATTAACAATTTAAACTAAGATATCCCTAAATTATTTCATTTTATATATTATTGCATTTTTAATGCATTTT